CAGTTAGTGGTCATGAGAAAGAATAATGAATTTCTCAAGCTCAGTACTTTTGATAATTTAGAGCCAATAATTCTTTGTTTTGTTTCCTAAAACTGCTGCCAGAGTCTGTAATCAATTCAGTGTCCCAAAATCAAGGTATTAGCAGAGCCAAAGTCCCTCCCTCTGGAGATTCTAGGGAAGAATCTCTCTTGCCTCATTAAACTTCGGGTGACAGGCAGCATCTCTTGACTTTGGCCACCTCACTTCAAGCTTCAAAAGCTAGTATCTTCAATCCTCTCCCTTTAAATCTCTTTGCCTTTACCTGGTCTTGTTCTTTATCTCAAATCTCTCTCTGCCTCTGACAAATACCCTTGTGATTATGTATTTATGGTACACCTGGATAATCCAGGATAATCTCCCTATTTCCAGTTCCTTACATCTTCAAAGACTTTTTCTTTTGTTGCTATTTAAAGTTAACATTTACAGGTTCCAAGGATTAGGATAGGTCATCTGTTTTGGTAGGGGGAACAATTTTCAACCGAACATACAGTTGGTCCTGTACATTGTAGGTCCAGCAAGCACCATTCTAACCTCTAGCCAATGCCTGATAGTAGCAGACCCATCCTCAGACCTCTACTCCAAACCAGGCATTGCCAAAATCTTACCAGTTGAGAACCATGGTCTTCACAACGGTTAGCAAATGACACAAGTAAACCAGTTAAAGATGTCTTATCTACAAAACAAGTTCCAGATTTAAATATTTGCTTAAATATATTTTCAGAGCCTCTCTGAACACCTTACAAGGACCTTGTTTTGAATCTCTAAATCCATTCTAAATCTGATAATATTCTAACTCCTGATAAATTCTGTATCTTAAAGACCACTTGTCATACACCTTCTATTTGTTCTGCATCATCGTATCCTGACAGCCATGACACAATAATTCAATAAAAGTAAATCTAAACAAGCCTACATGTTGTCTTAAGCCAAATAGCATGCTTGCATTTATTTTGAAAGCTGCTTTGTACGAGAAGACTATTTTGTAAGGCATTCTGTTTTACAGGTACTTACTTTTCATTATATCTAGTAACTGTGACAAGGAAGTTCTGTTGTCTTTCAGCATAAGACTTTCTGATAAATAACTGGTAAAGGAGAGAAAACAGTTTTAGAGTTTTAAAAATCTACTGAAAACACAACATCTTGAGAAAACACATCGTAAATTACTTTCCCTCATGGTCAATTAATCAAGGACAATTTTTTTAATTAACTTAAATGGATTCCATAACAATAGATTGAACTTCAGAAAACTATATTTTACAACTTTTCTAGTGTTAGGGATTTACTAAAATGTAAACCAAAAGATGTTTACTGTTCAGTTACTTTATATTTTATAAAATACACAGTTTAAGAGGTCAAATGAACATAATAACATTTGATTATTATTGATATTAACATTAATTTTATATTATTAATAATATAATATAAATAAATAAGATAAATAATAGTAATAATAATTAACAATATTAATGTATTAATATTAACATTATTAATATTTACTTTAAATCTAGTTCCTTAAAATACTACTTCAAACCTCACTTTATAGCTGTGGACTCTCAAATGGATGAATAAGTAACTTGTCCACTGTCATGTGGCTAGGAAGCTGTCAATCCAGAAGGTGCCACTAGTCCATGTAAGGCTAGCTGCTCTTCGTGGAACAGGTATCACACTGGTCTTAGTGGGTAACATCCCACACTTAACAAATCTACTTCATTTTATTTATATGGAATCCAATCCAGAGACGTTAATACTATGCCATAAGTGTGATATAAAGCCTAAACATCTGTTTTTCTCAAAACCACTGAAAACAAACAAAACTCCCTTCCATCAAGTCAATTCTGACTCAGTGACCCAAAGAGGCAGAGAAGATACTATACTTTAAGTATTATATACTTACACTTGTGATACTTTTGGTTCGTTGCTTCCTAATGCCATGACCCATTAATACAGTTCCCTATGTTACTGTGACCCCTCCCCCAA